ACTGTGGTTTTAGCCGTTTGGCTGTTATTCGTGTTCAAAGTTTAAAAAATGCTCGAAAAAGCATTGTTTTTAGATTTTATTAATTTTCTCGTACATATGAAAGGGGAGGCACCAAATGATTACATACTTTTGAGGGAGGCGTAGTAACTTCAAGTTTGGAAACCACTGGAGTATAGACACTGTATTTCAAAGTTGAATAAGTTTGTTTACGCAAATATCAGAGTAGGTTGGGTTGCCGTATGTTAGGCGCAAAATGCAATGTTTATTATTTTGAGACACCTGGCGCCATCTCTTAGGATTATGTCAAAGGTTGTAGTTCAGCTATTTCTGTGCTGTTCTTAATCCAATATCTTACAAGCTCAATTATTTATATAATCAATAGGTCCATATTAATTGAATTTTAATCTACATTATGCTAATATAAGTCATATTGAAGTCTGCTAATTAGTTAATAAGATAAATGCATTTATTTTTTCTTGATAAGCGCCATCTGGTTTTAGCCAGTAACAATACCGAATTTAAATACAAGTTGCTTAATTTCATTATTAATTTGACTAATTAAAAGAAATCAACGATGTATCTAGATATACTCATCTTAATAAGCGTAGTTTTAGCTTTAATTAGAGTCTTCATAGTTTTAAATAGCTTGTGTAGTTGTCGAGTAATCAAATAAAACATGAAGAGGTGACGCAAAATTTGAAAAATGAGCTGAATTCGATTATTAAACATATTTGTATATTTATATCAAGAAGATTCACAATCTTCTGTAATTATAAATTATAATCAAACTTAATAGTTACTTAGTTATGCAGGAAAAGTTACGTAATATTGATTAAGTAACCGAGAAACTTCGATTTTTGATGTCTTCAGTTTTTAGTGAATTACTCAAGAAATGCGGAAGATAATTACATCATCTATCAACACTGTCGTTGCTGAAAATGCACAGTCTTCATGTTTTCATTAATTTCAAGATAATGCCACAGGTAATTACATAAATTGTTTATTATGTATAACATATATGTTTGGAATGATTTAGAAGAAATTGCAATAAAATCATTGGATATGAAAAGTTTTAATTGATAAACACTAAATTTACAGTCGTAATTACCTTAATAAACGTATATACATACGTGTTTATATATAAAAATCACTTATATACATTATAAACTATGAAGGACGTTCCTCGCATATAAATAATATTATGTTATTCAAGATTTAAATATTAATTATCTACACATTCAGTTAAGTGGCAAGGATTCGTGCAGCCAGGTGCAGTTGCCGTTGTCGGCGAAGTCGGAAGCGGCGTGTCCGGCGTCGGAGTTCAACACCCATTTGGTGGTGAGGAGTCCTTCGACGCCCACCGGTCCTCTGGCGTGAATCCTGGCAGTACTGATGCCGACTTCCGCACCCAAACCGAAACGGAAACCGTCGGCAAACCGGGAGCTGGCATTGTGGAAGACGCAAGCACTGTCGACCTTCTTCTGGAAAGTCTTGGCTTTCTCGTCTACAAACAAAAAGAAAAGAATTAAAATAACAAATGTAATTGTAATTTGGAATTGCTGTTGTATCTCTTACCGTTTTCTGTGACGATGACGTCGGTGTGACCGCTGCCGTAGGTGTGGATGTGCGTGATGGCCTCGTCCATGTCCTTGATGACCTCGATGCAGCACTCCAGGGAACCGTATTCGTGCTTCATGGTCTTCGCCGGAGGTGGACCGAATGTGAGCATCTGGGAGAGAACCGGACCGGCATTGATCTTTACTCCTTCCTTCTTCAGCATGTTGCAGACGTCGGAGAAGAATTCACCTTCCATCAGACTCTCGTGGATGAGGAGGGTTTCCATGGCATTGCAGGCGGCCGGATAATCGCACTTGGCGTCGCGGATGATCTTCAGGGCTTTGTCCAGATTTGCCTCTTTGTCGATGTACACGTGGCAGATGCCCTCGGCGTGACCCATAACGGGAATGTGTTGGCTCTGGGATTGGATGCTCCGGACGAGCTCGGTGGAGCCGCGAGGGATGATGAGATCGATGTGTTGTTCCATAGAGAGCAGATCTCCGATTTCCTCGCGAGTGGAAACCTAAAAAAGATAACGCAAAATAATGAAACATTCATATGAAAATAATAATTTTGCAGTAAATAGTCTATTGTGCATATAATAAACTATAATATGATTGACAAAGAAAACAACTTTGCAGAAACCGGAATCTACAAGTCATTTTTGGACTCGTTTCACATCAAAATGGAATGGAATTATAGCTGCAATTTCATCTTATAAAGGAATGAATTCAATGTAATAAAAGAACAAAGAACATTGCTTGTAATATGACTTACTAGAGATATGGCATTGTCTGCGCCGACGGTGGCCAAAGCCTCTTTGACTAGACCCATCAGAGCCTTGTTGCTGTGAGCGGCTTCCTTTCCACCCTTAAGTAGAAGACCGTTGCCGGAGGCGATTGCGAGCGCGGCGACCTGTGGAAGTGAATCTGGACGGGACTCGAAGATGACGAGAAGCACGCCGATCGGGACGGTGATCTGCGTGAGATCAAGACCATCGGCGAGTTTCGTTCTGCGGAGGACGCGTCCGACGTTGTTGTGGCTGGAGTCGGCGATCTGCTTGAGACCGACGGCCAAATTCTTCAGCTTGGACGGAGTGAGTGAGAGACGAGAGACTAGCGGTTTGGCCAGTCCCGATTTGGATGCTTCCTGGATGTCCTTCGCGTTGGCGTCGAGGATCTCAGATTGCTTGGAGACGAGTAAATCTGCGAGCGCGTGCACGCAATTCGCCCTCTGCTCGGGGCTCAAAGTTTGAAGAACACGTCCACCAGTACGAGCTGATGGAATCAAAACATAATTGAATAAAATGTGATTGTTGAATTATTTTGTCTTACCGTTTTCAGCGACGACTTCGGTTGGAACGGATCCACCGAGAGCGGAGTCGGTGAAGAAAGTTCCAACTTTCCTACCGGCTAAGATCGTCTTGATAGCCTTCTCCTGCATGCCGTTGCAGATGACCACGCTGACGCCGCGGTCCAAAGCCCAAGTGGCTGCGTTCACCTTCGAATCCATGCCACCGGTTCCCACTTTAGACTTCTGTCCGTATTCGATGGTATTCCTGAGGTCGGAGGTGAAGGTGTGGATGAAACGCGCGCCTTCCTCCCACGGTGGCTTATTGTAAATACCATCGACGTCGGACATGAGGATCAGCATATCGGCTGAAACCTCTGCGGCGAGCATAGCGGCCAAACTGTCGTTGTCCTTGATGGAGATGCCCTTCTTTCCACCTTTACCACCGATCGGTTCATCGATCTGCGGTGGAGGAGATACAGCGTCGTTGGTGTTGATGATGGGCACGATGTTCAAGCTGATCAGCTCGGACAGAGTGCTGAAGAGATTGCGACGCGTTTGCTCGTTGTAGAAGTCCGGTTTGGTTACGAGAACTTGAGCGATTTTAACGCCGTATTGCGCGAACATAGCATCGTACAAGGACATCAATCCGGACTGTCCGACGGCCGCAGCAGCCCTAGGTTCGACCATACCAGGAGCTTCCTGAAATCAACCAAAATTAACTGAAGAATACAACAAGTTAAATAGAAGCTTACCTCGCGCGTGTGATCAGTTGGAGAAAGAGTCTCCCTCATGGACAGCGACATCAGCAACTCTTGAGTAAGCTTCTGCTTACCGAAAGCCACGGCCCCGCTGGTAACCATAATACATTCCCTTCCTTCATTCTGGCATTCAGCGACCTGCGAAAAGAAAGTAAATAAAACAACGTTTCCCCAACATCATAATCATTCCATATCAAAACACATTAATTCTCTTTCCAGAAATGCATAAAACATGAGACAAAACTACATCAGACAATGCAGCAACAGCAACAACAACAACAATAGCATTCCTCATAATGTGCATGTTATTGCAATTATTATTATTTACGTCGGATACAATTCGCAAATTGGCGACGCTGCGAATGCGACCATTTACATCTCTTTGATCCCCCAACGGAATGCATATTGCATGAGCATCGCTTGTTCCATGTCACGGCTTCCTCCTCCGCAACGCAAACCGAAGAGACGCCAAATGGCATCATAATAGCACTCGCTTCAAAACAAGTTCAAACGGCAGCTCTAATTGACACAATTAAATGCATTTTAACGTGCCTTTTAACGAACGTTTTTCTCTCTCTAAATGAAACAGGATTACTCCATTATATTTACATGCACTTTGTGTACCCGAAACCGTTTCATAATTCATGAATCACCGCAAACTCAACAGCATAATCGATGTATTTGATTAACAAGATAGTTGCAACCTTATTTTTAGACTAAAATTTCCAAGAAATTAACTGATTTTATTTAAACATGATTAACAAACAAAAAGTTGCTAATTGATCAAGATTTATTTGCATGCACATATTCCTGATAACCAGTTGAGTTTTCCAAAATAATTGTAAATAAGTTATTTTTAATCAATGCTATCAACGTCGAGTTTTCAAAGTTTTCGTGAAAAGAATAATAAAATCAAACAAATAGAAATGAGCAGCAGCGCAAAGAGTAAATACTTCCAAAGTCTACTTTTAACAGATAACCGATAAACCGAAATGTTTTCGTCATTATTTTTCGTTTTATAGGCGATTTGGAAAACGAAAGATTTTCGTGCAACAAAGTTGTTAAGTTTCTAATTGTTTTCCGAATAATATTTACATTTATAATTAATACGAATACACGCGCGATTATCGTGTACATTTTACCTAAACAAGGAAAGAGGAAAAGTTTTCGCCATTCGAAATGCACGCACCGAATGTGTGATATTTGTACGGATAATCCCGTTTCATGATAGTTTTTTCTCTCTCTCTTTTCTTTTCGTCGCAGCCTTGATTGCATTAATTTTTCCTACACGTGTCCACATCGGAATTGCACACTCGTTCTTATGCATTATTTCCATTAGAGAATGCGCGCTGAATAATCTCGCGCGTAGTTCTTATTGAATAAACAGTAAAAAGCAGATATGCAAATCTACTGCATCCATGTGTGCTTTTAGCAAACAGCTGGATCCTGGACCCCGGGTCCAACGTATCTCTACACTTAGTGAAAACACCATTACGGGCTTACCGAAATCCGAAAAAGCAACAGTTTTCTAATTGAATTATTATTCAAACTCTTATCAGCATTTTGATATTCAAAAACACTCAAAAACAAGCGGAATATGTTTTCGGTTTTCGATGCGAATGAGTTTGCTAATAATTATTGATAACGTTACACTTTATTACTCGCCATTCTTAGCTAACATCAACGTATTTACATCATTTTTAACCCAATTTAGAAGGAAAACAATAACAAGGATTACATAAACATCTGACATTGACTCGATGCTATCTTCATAGTTGAGAAATATTCGAGTCCTCGGATGAACTTTTCAAAAAATTTAAACTCTATTAATTAGAAAAACTTGAACTATTAATGAAAATAGAACATAATTTGATTTTACAAAAATTTGTTTCATTAACAAACGTTAAAACATTAGGTAAAATAACATAAAAAAACAAATAATATTTACATTTTATAAAAACAAACTGTATAAAGATTGGTTTTTATTTTTAAATTAATTAAAATTCCTATTTGTTATGCAAATCGAATGGAAAGTATTGTTTAATTCAATTAAAACGACTTGATTAGAATAATGTTAATCATTAATATGTGCAGAATTGAAATTACGTAATTTCAAACTTTATTTATCGCTTATTCAAATGCTAAAATTATCAACTAGTTTTGTATGTATTATTGCAACTAGCAGCGTCACACGTTTATATAACAAATTTGCATCAAGTTGATTTGTCTGTTTGTTTAATGAAACAATAATAATCAATAAAAGAAGTTGCATCTTTTACTTTTTATAATTAATTGCTTGCTTATTCTCAATTAAGCATTATTAATTAATTATAATTAGAAACTTTTCTTTTCATTTTTAGAGAATTTTAATCCTAATTTATTAATTAAGGTTTTCAATTATGTATTATAAAACATGCTAAACAAAGCTACAATTTGTTTAATTGATTGACTAATAGTTAAAATTTCTTTGTTGAAATTTCAAAAAAAAAAATAGGTCTGAAAACCAATAATTTTATGATAAAACTGAAGAACTTACTTGTTCGACGATGGATGCCAACCTTCCAAGGGCCAAACCGTGTTCATCCTCTCTGGTGATGACGGCGCTTCCAAGCTTAACGACCAACCTCCTCGCATACTTCAGCTGACTCCTGTCCGTGAACGTGGATTGCTTCTTGTCGGAGAACTGCTGCAGACTCCTCTTCTCGTAGTTCACCTGAAAATCGAGACCGTTTTCACTGACCAATCCGTACTTCTTTAAAGGACCCATCGCAATCAAGCAACTGGTAAAAACGAAGCAGTCCCACGACCATTATTCTCTCAATTATAAAACAACCGAGAGAAAGAGAAAGAGAGAAGCAGGATCATTTATGAGCCACGTGGTTGAATTAATTAGTGAATGCATTCCATCATCGTACATAGGTGGGAAAACAGTCTTGTTATTTCGCAGCGAAAGTCCAAAGTCATTTGCAATCGAAACAGAGACAGTTATAAACCGTTGTTGTTATCATTTCGCGATTTACAAACTCGACGAAGAAGACATCGTCGTCGTTCTCGCCGAGATTTGATAGAGGCCGGCATAAAAAAAATAAAAAATAAAATTGGAGAGCAGAGGTTGAGCCCCCGCGTATCTTGTTTGCCACGAACTTTAATATATATACTTTTTTCTTCTCTTCTCTTCTTCATCTTATTTATTTCTCCAGCTCTGTTTTCGATTTATTTTCGCCGGATGGCGTAAACTTTACACTGGTGCTCTTTCGGCCTTGACCTCCCCACTCATATAGAGCAGACAGGCGAATAAATACAACACGTTCATTCTCAGTTACACAAATCTCACATAATTTTTTGTAACTTTTACTATTACCACCACTTTCCAAATAGTTTAAACCCTTAAACCTCAACTTTTATCAATCATCGTTTTCATATTAATTATCTTATATATACAAAAAGTTTGTTGATCGAATACGTTAAATTATTATGTAAACAACTATTTTTTTTTCTATCACTCAGACGGATGTGAGTTATATCTCTAACTAGATGACATTCCACTATTTATTATCTAATTAACAAGTTGTTAAATTGATGTGTTATTAAATAACTATGGATTATCTAACAGAAAATCATAGTTTTTATATTTTTATACAACTTAATTTACTCTAAAATCTTATAAGTTATTAGTTATATTATATAATTATGTAGATTTCTTCATATTATTAAGTAAATAATTATATTCTAACTCTTATAGTCAATTGATTTTAATATAAATTTAATGTTGTAAACTTTCTGAATTTCAAATATTTTGTTGTGTGCTTGTAGAATTCCAATTAATCCATATTTGATATTACTTTAATCAAGTGGGATTTGGGTGCACCCGAAAAATCTTGGCCAGCGGATAAAAATATTATCGTTCTTATCTGTAAGACGAATCGCGCGTGATGTTTACTTTGCGTTCCGATCGGTTTTTTTCCCCAATCAAATTCTATTTATAATCAAACGTTACGATTATTACCAAATAACGTTGCCTATTTTTATAGAGAAAAACATACATATTTAATAAAATCTGATATTAGTAATATTGTTTGTTGTTGTTTTCAATTCTGCTTCCATAAGTCGACCAAACCTTGGAATCATCATAGTCACAACACGAGATTATCGTTTATGTGCAATTCGGAAGATTAACGTTGATCTAATTGTGCAAATGTTGTAAAAAAATAAATATGTAATTGTAATGTTTTCGTCTGTGTGTGGAGATTCTTTTATAAGTAGATAAGATTTTGGTGAAAAACAAGTTTAAAAATAAATTTGTACTATTTAAGTTATATGAATAACATATAACTATGTACAATTAATTAAAACTTGTAATTTTTTAACATATACGCTTTCATATAGATTTATTTTAATTAGAAATTTGTTTGGAATTGAATTGATTGATTGATTGAGTTGATCAAATTAAATTAGGAAACTATAAATTGTGCTAATAAAGTGAAACTAATTCTCGAGATTAATAAGAAATTTAATTAATAAGAGAAAGAATTTAATTGTTTTAGAAACAAAAAAAAACTTATTTTCACATTGATGGAAATAAATGAATTCTAAACTTTTGTTTTTGAGTAATTTCATAAATTCTCTTAATCTCACTAGAAGATACATGTTTTTGTAAATTTTCAAACATTTTATGGTTGAAATTTATCAAGAAAACAAATTAATTAAAAGGGTAAAATACACCTTAAAAGGAAACTAATTGTTTTGTGGTTTTGAGTTGAATTTAGTTTTTTAATTGAATCGAATCGAAAGAAGTCGCACGTGTGTTACGATTTGTTGTTATGCAAGAATCGCGCTTATCGCCGTGCAAATATTTGTTGCCTGCTCTAAAGTGACATTGCGCCTATTTTTATTTGTTGTCGTTAAGGGAAATCCTCTTGAGTTGCAAACTCTTTGGAATCAAAACTGACCTGAGTGGGTTTCGGCAACCAAAGACCTGAGGTCGTCGAAGCGGCTCTGAGGGCTTGCGGCCAAAGGGCTGCAACCTGTGCGGGCAGCCTGAAGACACCTCCTGTGCTGCAGGCCAACAGTTGGCCCGGCTTCAGGATCCTCGCTCCGTACATCTTTTCGATGGTTCCTTCTCGAAAACTTGTTGTTCACAAACTCTAAATCTTTCTATCTCGATATCTTTCCCTTTTGTCTCTTTGTCTCTCCTCCTTCTCTATCTATCTATATATCTATCTGGATGTGGTCTACTCGTCAGGCCGTTCGCCCACCAACTAAACCCAACCGATTCCACTTTGGCAACTCTTTGGAAATCCACTGATTATGATAAACCAACCGATTGGACCACTTATTGCCATCGGACTATGTCCATTGACGCCGTTTACACGTGATTGTGGCTTGTACAATCCTCTTGCATGTGTTCGTGCCCAGCACTTCAACTTGTATACATATACGAACATACATACACACACACAAACGACCTTATCAGAGCCCTCGATTTATCATGAAATTATTATTTACACTCGCTCCCCCCGCGACCTGAAACACTCTAACACACACTCACATACGCAAATAAATGAAACAGTTTTAAAACATTCGTTTTTTCTTCTTCCCCTTTCAAAAGAACGAAATCCGGGCCAGAAATTGCATAAAATCCCCTTGGACCGTTCATTATCTGCCAGATAAAGAAGCCTCGAAGGAAAGAAACGAACGCGTACATGTATATGAAAATACACACATTAACGCATATCTATACACACACACACATTAAGGTCAAGTAACCAGAGGAAAGAAAACAACGAAACAAAAACAATCCGCAACATATATTGTTTGTTTGTTTGTTTGTTACGAATCTAAATGCGAAATCATCTCCCTTGGCAACCCGATATTGCCACGAAAACTTGTGTCTTCAATACAATCGAGTCATCCATGTATCAGATGATGATCGAGATAAATGTCACGCATAAACAAAGCGGACTGCACTCGATCTTATCAACGATAAATAGACTAATTACATTTGAGTGAGAACAATATTTACACCAGATCCATCCAATTCGAGAGGGGAAATCCATCAATTGTCAATTGATATCAATTTATTTTTAAAACTCGATTGAGATTTCCACTCCACTTTGCAAATAAATATATAAAAAAAAACATCTAATTTCTACAGCTCATAGTAGGCGACTTGATGACAGCACGAAGATGCAAGTATGCTCGTTGGAAAGGTGCGATATACAGCTTTCATACGAGTGGTCGATGATGCAATAATCTCAAGGGGTTGTCGAGGAGTTCACAAAAACTGACCTCTTACCTAACATCTAATTCTAATTTCTACAGCTCATAGCAGGCGACTCGATGACAGGACTAAGATGTAAGTATGCTCGTTGGAAAGGTGAGATATTCAGCTTTCATACGAGTGGTCGATGATGCATGATTATCTTAAGGGGTTGTCGATAAATTCACGAAAAACTGACCTCTTACCTAACCTAAACTAACCTCTATAATGTCTACAGCTCATAAACTTATATAAAACAATAAATAATGCTTATTTTTAATTTCTAAATTAGAAATCTCTTTTGTGAGTTTACCAAATACTCACATATTTAGTCTACTTTGCTATTCAATTCCTAATATTTCTATACAAGACTTCAAGCTGACAAAATAAACAAATGTGCAATCATGTTTTTGTGGCAAGTTTATAATAATTAACTGCGAATTTATTAGTATGCAGGTGTGATGGTGGCGGCGGTGGTGAATTGGTGATCGCTTTTCTAATCCGAACAAATGTAATCACTGATTTGGGATCACGCGGCGCTAATTGCATATTGTTCACCGGATCCGTCCATCGATATTTCGCTTTTAATTGGACCATCACAGAATTTAACAAATTAATTAACAAATTAAAATGTAGCACGTTTTCAGTTCCTTAATATCCTTCAATTTTCATTTTCTTTACTACACTAAATACAGAGCTACAAGAAAAAGCGAAGCTTGAGGAAATAATTGATGAAAGTTTCGAAGGGTTTTTTTGGGTAAATTAAAGTTTTTGTTAATTAGTTCTTAATCAGTGTCGGAGCTAATTAACGGATCGAGTCTATAACTACAAGGGGGAGAGGGTGTAGTGCTTTTCGATTTCCCATCCTAATTGTTCTTCACCGCCCCTAGTGTGTTATCCCGTGTCTAGCCGTAAATCACCGCAAAAACCAATAGATCCTAAGGGGATTTAACAAAGATATGTTTACTATTTAACCTTGATCCACAACTTACTTACTTACCTTCGCTTGTTCTCAAAGCAAACTGAAGATGATTTACAAAAAAAAGATTAAAATAACTTAAAAGTGTAATTAATTTAAGAAGATTTGAAAAACGTAATAAATATTTCAAGAAAAATCGTTAGTTTTTATGCAATGTTTAAATTAGTATTATCAGAACATTATTTTTAACAATTTTTATACAAACTGTTTCAAAACATTGTTTGTAGTAAGTTCATAACTTTCGAAATTTACTTTGTTTCAAATATTAATGGGAATAGTTTAAAAATTAATTACAAGAAATGTATTAGCCAAAGTTTGTTACATATTAACATATGATTAATTGCATATTTTTTGAAACATCGTTGATTAGCTTAAAAGTAACCAAATTTTGAACTAATGCAAGGATAAGCAAATGTATTTATACAACAATTTGATCTCGATTATATAAAAAAAACATATAAAGCGAACTTTGAGTTTGGGTTCGATCCGTGCGTTATTTATTTACATTTTGCACTGTTATTTGGAAGAAATAAAATAAAGATTGCAGTAAGCTCGAACACATAATTGTGGAATCTTATCGTCGCTCCGGGATTTTCGCCTCGTGCGAAATAAACACGTTTGATTATTACTTTTTTTTATTATTATTATTAAAATTTTCGTAGTCTTCGAACTCGTTTCAAAATTTTTGTGGAGATCTAGAGAGAGTGGAGTAAACAATTTTATACGAATGCGCGTTTGCACGCGTTCACTGCACACACATATATTCAACGGTAAATATTTGTTTTTCGAATTTCGAGCATGAAACGTTGATAATAGTTTTAGTTGATAGCTGGACTTCAATTTTTTGGTGGATTATATGGAAAAATTTGAAGAAAATATGAGATTGTTGAGTGTTGTTGAATTTCCAAATTTACATGTAAAAATATCAAAGTTAAAAAAATAGTTTCTTCACGTTTTATAGTATTACTCGAAAACCATGCATGATAATTATAATAAGTGATCACTATAATTAAAGTCAAATGTACAGACTTTAATATGAGTATAATCGGGGATTTAGAGCTAATAGAGTTTGCTTGTAATAAGCTGTGTAATTTGAAAAATATTTTAGCTTTTTACAAAAAAATGCAATGTTTTTACTTTTATTTGTATTACTCGATAACTACGCACGTCAATTACAAGTATTAGCAATGAAATTGAAGTTGAATATACAAGCTTTAAAATAAAAGTATTACCAGATTTATAGTTCATATAGTTTTCTTGTTATAATCTATGAAAAACTAGATTTTTACAGCTTGGAGCATAACTTCATATTTTTTTGTATTACTGAATAAACATGCATACCAATTACAAGTATTAGTACTGTAATTAAAGTTACATATACAAGCTTTAAAATAAAGGTATTACGAGATTTATAGTTCATATCATATCCTTGAAATAAGCTGTAAAAAACTAGATTTTTTACTGCTTGGAGCATAACTTCATATTTTTTGTATTATTCGATAATCATGCATACCAATTACAAGTATTAATACTGTAATTAAAGTTAAATATACAAGCTTTAAAATAAACGTATTAGAAGATTTATAGTTCATATAGTTTCCTTGCAATAAGCTGTGAAAAACTAGATTTTGTTTTACTCTAGGCAGTAACTTCATATTTTTTTGTATTATTGAATAACCATGCATACCAATTATAAGTATTAGCACTGTAATTAAAGTTAAATATATAAGCTTTAAAATAAACGTATTACGAGATTTATAGTTCATATAGTTTCCTTGCAATAAGCTGTGAAAAACTAGATTTTGTATTACTCCAAGCAGTAACTTCATATTTTTTATATTATTGAATAACCATGCATACCAATTACAACTATTAGCACTGTAATTAAAGATAAATATACAAGATTTAAAATAAACGAATTAAGAGATTTCTAGCTTTCAAATTTGAAAAACAATTTTGTAATGATTACAAAAAAATGTAATGTTTTTACATTTTAAAGTATTACTCGAAAACTACAAATACTTCATAAAAGTTTAAATACTCTAATTAAAGTTAAATATATAAGCTTTAATTTGATTATACTGTAAAATTTGTAGCAATTACCATATGCCTGCAATAAGCTGTCAAAATTGAGCAAGGTTAGTTGAAAGTTTGTTTTTGTCAGCAAGTTTTTTTTTTCCTAGTTTTATTTTCATTCTCGACTCGTGTCCATGCAATTAACTTTGTCCGGGATTGATGAGGGTCCAACGGAACAGGACGGTCCCAGTAATTAGTATCTCGAAATTGTTCCTTTTGCAAGAATCCTTCGCAAACGTGTTAGTTAATTTTTTTGTTACTAACTTCTTTGCATAATCTTTTAACCAGAAACAGTGCGTGTACGTTCATTCTCACTTTTATTGGAATTTCCCGATCCGGAAAAACGCTAATGCCTTGGAGGCATTAAAGCTATGAAAGTAAGTAGCTCGATGGGAAACCAATAATTCCAAGTTGATGGCGAGGAACCAGAGTGGACCGTAAAATGTTATATACACTCGAAACATAAATTCTTCTCTTCTTTGTCTCTTCGGTTTTGCTACTCGTTTCTGAAATACATTTATTATCGTTTTCACCTTGTAAATTTATCTATAGCGAGTGCAGTTTCATCATAAGCTCTTTATAAATAGCAGAAGAAACAAACAAACAAATAAACAAGATAAGTTTCA